ACGGCTGACACTGAGAAGAAAAGACAGGCTGTTGTTGCTGATCTTCCGTCACATAAGCTCACAGAGAAGACGCACAGCCACACTGATCTGACAAGGATGCACACACCATGGAATTAGCAGACCAAAGAATGTCTCTGTGTATGTGTTTGTCTGTGTGTGTGTGTGTGTGTGGGTGTGTGTGTGTGTGTGTGTAGGCCTAAATAAGCCCAGTCCAACCACAAAATCTCTCTAGCATGAAAGTGAGAATGACTTAATAATAAACACCATCAACACCAGGAGACAGAGACGTAAAAGATCCCACTTACAAAAATAAAAGCCCCAGTAATGTGACTAATCTCTTATCTTGTGAAACCCGCTCGCTTCAATCAGCCACAGAGAAGACCTGAGCACAGCCAAATGGATGGCACTGTGATATTAACTGCTCTCTTATAGTAAAAGCTGAATCCTATGGATGACTGAATCCTAGCCTTGTTAATTTAAAGGAATGAAATTTTCATTGTGGATGCACCCGCAGATATCCCATTAAAAATCCAATTAGGATTGATATACCATGCGTCGGCTGCAGAGGAGAGAAACCCATATGGATCTAGGAAACAGTCTCTCTCTGAATTAAAGCTTCACTGCAGGACGCTGACTGGAAATTAGCACGCTACTGAAATCATTTCTGATCACAGGCGTGATGAAACCTTCATTTTGAAAGCACACTTGTCTCAATCAGATTTTGACATTATAATGCGGCGCACAGGTGCCCTATTGGTGCCTTATTTCCTTTTCTTCTCAACGTTTTCTCTGGGCTTGTAATGTTAGGCAAGAAGTCAGTGAAGCAAGCGATGTAAGCATCAAATGCCCATCTGCGGCTATTGGGCAGATGAAAAGTGGCACAGATCTATTAAGGAGTAAGTTTGATCTGTTTGTGTCAAATATTGTGGATTTAACGCATTTAACATGTCAGATCATTGCCCCTCGGGTTTATTTGTGTCCATGTTTAATATGTCTTGCAGCACCAAGAAGACTGTACAACCAAAAGCCATGCTCTAACAGCATAGGAATTTAAAAAGCTTTAAACTACAATCAAAATAACACTATTCTAAGCAAAATGAAACTCTTAAACTTAATTGTGCTATTTTTGCTCAGGTTTTTATTAGTTCATCACTGGCCACAGAAATGGCAACTGTTGCCTGCATGTGGCCGTGTGCAGCGTGTCTTTTAATGTACTGTGCAGTGTGCAACAGCAGTGTCAAATACGCATTAGCCTCCTGAACTCATAACCATATGCCTACAAAGAGAGAGAGCATGACGTGATGATTTTACTGCCCAGAGAAAAAAACTCTGTCGACTAGCAACGCAGCTAATATTTACCCCACATGTCTGTCTGGCCAACCACCTCTCAGTGTATGTGTGTGTGTGTGTGTGTGTGTGTTTAACCTGACTGTTCCATCTAACCACTGAATATAAACATGCTGTCAAAATATGGTCAGCACAATTAGAGGAAAGACAGATAGAGACACAGACAGCGAAAGAGAGAGATAGAGAGAGAAAGAAAGAGAGACACAGAGAGATAAATAAGAGGTATTTACCCGCCCTCTGCTCTGCAGGAATGTAATCTTGGCTCAGAACAGTGTGGTAACACAAAGAAACCCGCTGCAACAGCACTACTAATACAGATACATCACACACACACACACACACACACGTGCAAGCACTCACACTTGGTCTCTTTTTCTGAGAACTCAGACATGATGACAGTGGGTGTGTCAGGCTGGCAGGTAGACAAAGTACAAGGTCTATGCTGTGTTCAAGTGTGTGTGTGTGTGTGTGTGTGTCTCTGTGTGTGTATTCAAACTGTTCTTCATGGTAGACGGTTACCACTCCTTTTTTATGACATGAGCAGCAGTGTTAGGGGGTAAACAAGGACCTGCTGCTGCTCTTGGGTTCACACAAGGTTGCTGCTAGTGTTGCTTTTGTCACGCCACATAGGTTTATGTATGTGAGTATATGTGTGGGTGTGCGTGTTTGTGTGTGTGTGTGGGGGGGGGGTCTACCAGGGTGTAATGAGGGTGTAATGTGAACCATCCTGTCCAGGGAAGGGTGTGGCCTGAAGTAAATGAGGCTAAAACCAGACCGAGCGGGAAATCAAGTAGAAGGAGTTACTAAGATGGGAGGAGAATGAAAAACAAGGAACAGAGGAAAGCCAAACGGGCGAAGGAGAAGTGGACTAGAATAGGCTTGCATCTGATAAAAGTGGGATGGTACAGTACTTGAAATAAACTGGCAGTTTACCTCTGTGTGGGCGGGGTGGAGCTGTAATGTTACAGTTCATTTATTGTAGAGTAACCTATATTTTTTCAGACTAATTCTACTGTAAGCTAATGAGGCATTAGCTCACTTGCTTCTGCAACCTGAGCTGACTATTATACTCCAATCTGATTAGAATGCTTTAGTGAAGCATTAACTACCGAAGGTTAAAATTAATTACTTCCTCAACATATCCTGTACATTTAAAAAAAGAAGCACACGCTGCATCACACTTGTCCACCTGTCTCATTAAGTTAGTCTATTTATATAGGCATTTATATTAGAGCA